CAGTTTTACAATTCTCTTTATTTTTGACCAATGATCTATTCTTTAGATTATATCAAAATTGCCTTAGTGCTAGTGTGTTAATGAATTATGCTCCAGCTTGGTGAACTAATTTTATGATCGGGTTTCTTTTTAACCAATGGTCCATTCTTTATTTTTACCAAAATATGCCTTAGTGTCCTTTTATTAAAATGTGTAGAATGTTTTTCTCTTATGCTAGTTATATAATTTGTACATATTTTAGTTTTCTTAGCATTCAAAATGATGTTTTCCATATTTTGCGTGAGGAATTTAGTTTATAGTGACAAAATATTGTAATGGCAAATCTAGATATCTTGATACTTTTTTTTTTGAATGCCAATTCATCTGTACAATTTATTTTTAATGGTCTAAGTATTAATTATTGTATTAACTGATTAGGATCTTAATGATCTTTATTATCAAACAACTTATTCTACTTTTTTCCTCCGAGTCTTTCTCTGTTCTAAAAAAGTGGTCAATAACGAATATAATGCACGTGAGGCATTTATGTTTGTGTTAAATATTAAACTTTTATCTATTACATTACGAATTAGTATAAAATATTTTTTGTTGAGAATCTATGCCTTAGTGGGACTCTAGCACTCCTTCACGAGCCCTTCAAAAGGGATTCTCTTCTGAAGTGTTTACTCTCCGAGCAATAACAGTAACACGCGGCCACGGCTACGCCGAAATAAATGCGTGCCACATGTCTGCGCATAAATGCGTTCTACGCGCCACTTGCACGTAGCTTCGCATTGGTATGATTGCTTTATGATTTCAAGAGTAGGGCTTTTCATGAAAATATTGGAAAGACGAAGCTTTTTTATGCTTCATCATAAAAATGGCAGTTATGTTACAATTTATGAAACGTGTATTTTGAGCAAAAGTTACAATTTAAAGCGAACTTCTATTAATTTATGCCAGCTAGAGAAACAAACTTCGTTGAAACTATTCTATTTATTTTATTTATTTGCGTAAAGAGATCATTCTATATGCATGACAAAAGATTATGAATATAGTGTTCATTCTATTCTATCTCATACATATATATATATATGTTAGGGTGGTCCTTAAAATGATCATTTTCGAATTTCCTTGCTCCCAGGGGCTCAAATGGTTTCAAATAGATAAAAAACAATTCTCTGAAAGTTTTAGCTCTTAATATTAACGTTTAGATAGAGCACAATTCAATCAAGTTTGTATGGAAAGAGCATGGAAAAAAATTTGAAAATTCAAAAAAAATGTTTTATGTATAATTTAGCGACAAATGAATGAGTTTATTCATTCATTTGTTCGCTAATTACATCTAAAAACATTTTTAAAATTTTTGAAAATTTTTCCATGCTATTTCCATACAAAACTTTGATTGAATTGCGCTCTATCTAAACGTTAATATTAGAGCTAAAACTTTCAGAGAATTGTTTTTTTATCAATTTGGAACCATTTGAGCCCATGGGAGCAAGGAAATTCGAAAATGACCATTTTAAGGACCACCACTATATATATTAAAATACAAAATTTTTTTTTAAGCAGTTTTTTAGTTGTATCGACACTGCACTGAAATTATATAAATGAATGTCAAATTTTTAAAAATGATTGCTAAAATTTCATAATTTTTAGATTTTATATCTTTCCAAAATGACGAATACGCATTTAGTATTTTTGATCATTCACTATTTTTTATATAACATTTACTGCTAAGAAATCAAATTTTAATTCACAATTTAATATATCACTAGTTAATATTTAATAAAGGAAAAATAAGTTTACATGCTAGCAATACATTTAAGTAATATATATTATATATATATATATATAATATATTTATTGTTGTTTTTTATTTAAACTTGAAACTTTTGTCTGGTTTTAGATATGTCGTAGCGATCGGCCTTGTAGAAAAGATGGCACTTCTTCTTGCTTCTGCAAGAGGTTCCTTGGAGTCTAATCCTTCTTTAATGAGCTTTGCAGAAGAAAGTTTAGTGCTACTTAACTGTTTCATTAGAGCTACGCCATTCGATAAGAATGATCCTAGTCAAGATGTCACGAAAATGATGGAAACGATACGGTAAGCTTAAAGCTTCAATTACACATACACACACACACAACACATATATATATATATATATATATATATGTTATATATATATATATATATATATATATATTAACAAAGTCTAGTAATCAGGCATAACATCAATAAAAACATGAATTTCTTTCAGTGGAAACTGAAAATAAAATTAAAAACTAAAACAATTGAATTGGAGTGAAAAGAAAAAATAAAATAGTAAATAGTACTTACAATTAGTTAATCTTAGTGTTAAATTAGAAAATTCTAATAATACATGGTATCAGGATATGGTAGTGCAGTATTATAAACATTAAACTTGTAATACACAATATTTTCACAAAATACTAATTTAAAAAATCACAATTGGATAGTGTGTTGTTCGTAGACTGGTTGAAGATATAATGGAGAAAGGACTTTTTAAAAAATATTTTTTACCAAGACTTTGTTAATACACATGTCAACATCAAATTCAGAATCATACAATATATAATACACCGGTATAATTTTATAACGTCTTTTATTTTATTTTTTCATTTTTGCTCAGGTCGACTGAATTGCTAGGTTGTGTTTCTATGTTATACTGCGTAGCTACACCAATTGGTCAAGCGGAAATCAACCCATGTCTACATTAAAACTTGCAAGTAAACATTCAGTTTGTTAAAAACTATAGCCGATAAGGATTTGACCACATTTCAGGTAAACAATAAAACATTTAATCATCAATATTTTTTAAGAGTAAGAAAGTGTATTCAATATATTATTTATCTTATATTCAAGATAGAAGTGTAAAATTCTAAATGTGTATCTGTTCAATTAAGTTACTTCACGACATTATAGATGCTTTTCTGCAAACTAAAAATAATTTACATAAATATGACTGATTTTTTAATTATTTGGTCAAACTAATGGAATATAATATGAAACAATACTTTAGGAATTATACACTCTCAAGTGTTTATGAAATTATTCTATCCGTAGTATGTTACCTATTATATCATGAAGTTTTTTATCATTAAGATCAGTGCCGCAATAAGAATCGTTTCCAATTTTGAATATTTCCATTCTACTATCTTCTGTTTATATTTGCTATCTGGCTTTGATAATTGCATGCATAATACATTTAATATATTTGAGTTTTCGGATTGAATCAATATCAATATTGTCTGAACGCTGCCGATCGTTCTTTAACGCACATGCTCACCTGAATTCTTTATTCGGTGAACCATATGTCGCATTATATAAAATATTTATATGGTTCATATTTGTTTAAAACGTAGTATTTTGAACTTGAAATTCGAAAAACAGATCTAAGATAATTTTGCTTATATATATACGAAATTGATATAAAATTTAATGTGCAATTAGTTAAAACAATATATGTATTTAGTAAGGTGCTATACTACTTATTTTTTGAATATTTCTAATGAATAACAATTTGTTGGTTTTTACAATACAAGAGTGAAATTTTGTGAAAATTTGTGAAACCATGTGATTATATAATAAAACAGACATAAAACTCATATTAAAAAAAAAAACATAATATTAAAATTTTTTTGTGATTTTTTGTTAGATTGGCGTTGGTTTTAAATTAAAAATAAATGCTCACAGTTCGAATATATAATGCTTTTTTATTTTTTGATATATTTTATCCTCATTGCCCTTTCTCTATTATTATAAAACAATTGAAGTACACAATTCACCATTTTACCATGAAATTGCTGCTAATGCCAAATTTAGAAAAAAATTGATTAAAATAAATTGCAGGTCCAAAACATTTGAACAAATTGCGTGTATGAGCCGACTGATTTCTTTTTTTTTTCATTTTTAACTTTGGCTTTCTCTCGGTCATCTCATCGCTTATAGTCATAATTTCTGCTTGACGGTGATAAAACGAAATTAATTAAAATAATATCGCTAGTTAAATTTGTGCTTGTTGTATTATGTATCCTGTCTGTACCTTCAGTGATACTTTGTGATGCACCCTATCTTGCCCATGGCGGAAAATCGGAAATAATTTGTTTAATTTAGACGTCGAGTCAGTTGTATTTGTGTTTGCTGTTCAATCCGCAATGATTGTTTGCAGATGATGTATAGAGGAGTAATGATTTTTTGCCTAATGTTTACGTTTGCCAGATTCTTTCATAAAGAATTCTACTACTGCGTGATTTTAAGCGCATATGCCAGACGTGGCGTATGGTAACCCGTACTAGTAACCCGCGAACATTTTCTCGATCGTTTGCGGTTTTAAATCATATGGGTAATAATTATGGGAATGAAATTGCTATAATTAGCATAATGGTATAATTAATCATAAGAATCTTAATCAAAGAAGCTACAATCACGTTTATCGATTTAGCATTTATTATAGGTTCATGAAAATTTTATTTCAACGTGCTGATAAACTTAGCATGATTTTTATTGATATGCAATTTTTTTATTGTTTTATTTCAGTGCGCATCTAGTGCGGACGGTGTTTCCTTGCAGTTTAGACATGTTTGTAACACTCTGCTTGCCTATTGTTCTTCTGCCTCCAATGAACATTTGGATGGACTACTAAACGACGTATTGCAAACATTAGGATTGTTTTCCATAGGCAACAGGGACAATCAGGTATGTCAACTTTGTTAATATTATATGTCTAATGATGTGATTTTTTTTAGAATTAACTTTATATCTACAGCGTGTAGTATTTTCAAATTCCACGTTTTTGGAAACTGCATTATGCTTGACTTTAGGCGATGGTGTTGTGCTAATATTTTTTTACTGGAACGCTAAAATTAAAAAAACCTGTTCAAAAACCGGTTCTCATATTTGTTCCTGTTTGGTTCGAAAATGAAAGAAACACAAATTATTACAAAACCCATTTTGTATATATATATTGTGAAATATGTAAGTTTGGTGTTGATATATATTTTGATGTGTTATTAGATTCGGGTTCGGCAGCAACACCAAGTAAAAAAAACTAAAGTAGTTTTGAAATACTTTATTTATCCATACGTTTCGGTCTTTGTCGAGACCGTCATTCAGTGGAAAAAATAAATTATACAAAAATACTCTACACTATTACACTGTGATAAACCAAGCTATTAATAACTGGAACATTTAAACTAATTATTTTTGACAATTTTTGGTTACATTCTAGTGCGTACAGATTAACTAACGTCTAAATACTGAATGAGTTCAGTTAAAATAATATTCATATTACTGAAACCGCGCTCACACTCTACCGAACTGCAGGACACAATATACATGTAATTGAGATTTCTATATCTTTAGGATTATTTTGCCTCAAGTTTCAATATAATCTCTGAGCGTATTGATATATTGCATCAGTGATGTTAAATTAAATCTGGTGCATAATGACTGGATTTTATTTTCTTCTAGTCTATTCAATTTGCAATATTGCCACTCCGTCGTTAGATCTAATACTCGAAATTCACTTATCAAATCATCTTCTGTATGTAGCGATTTAAATATTTTTTTTGCCGGAACGCGCTCCGGCTCGGCTCGACGTTCAGGCGCGTTCCGGCTCGACGTTCAGGCGCGTTCCGGCTCGACAACACCACTGATTTTAGGCATGTTACACGAAGTTCCAAACAAATGTAACTAATTGGATTAATACCGAATTTTTTTTTAGTTTTGGAAATGCCAAAAATCTTGGAAATCATTCATTTATAAATAGTATTCTTATATATTATTATGTAATTTTCTTTCAAATTTAAGACTTACGTTTAAAAGATAGTTTATTTCTGGATTCAAAGATATCCGTTGGCTTTTGCTGAAGATCGGCTAAACTTTTTCTTTCATTCGTAACAAATTGTTGCAATTTTGATTTTTGCTTTTAATATTAAAAGCTGGTGTATATATTCAAATTTGTTTCTATCAAGTTTTCTTGGACTGTTTAGTGTGTTCCTATTTTTTTTTTTTTCGAAAAACATAGTCTGAGTTGTAAGTTTATTAGCTATGAGAAAAACACTGTCTTAAGCATATCCTTAACTTAGACATACCGGCAGCATCTTTAAAGAGTTGGGCAGCAGCTGACTGACACTACTGCTAAAGTTTGCGTATGTAACGATGATCGCCTTTCAGAAGAAGTCCGGAGGTAAAAAATAATGTGAGCATGAAACGAAAAAATACTGTGGCTATGCACTTTTTACGAAAAACGCTACTGACGAGCAAACTGAGTATGGACTTGCATAAGAAGTTGATAAAATGCTGCAGTTTGAATATGTTGTGTACAGTTTAGATGAATGGAGAAAACATAATGGACCGACTAGTGGTTTTGGTAGCACATGAAGAATTGCTTCATGGAACTTGAGAGGAAACAATAATTCGCAGCATATGATTGCGAAATGAAAAGAAAACTGAATCGGATCCATATAAGGCAAGGGTTGTTTCTACAAGATGCCATCGTTGGAACAATAAAAGTACAGAAAGTTTTAAAAAACGTTAGGACGCAGAAATGTGAGAAGTGAATAAAATCTGGTGCCTTAACACAGGGACTTGCCTTCGGGCAGTGCATTTGCAATAATAAAAATATCAAACATTGTCATTTTCACCTTTTCATTATTGTAATTTTAAAATAGTTTTTTGCAATTTAATGAAACAAAACTATCTAAAAATTCCAAAAAATATAAAATTTTTAATTTTTCTCAAAAAGTAATATAATTCTAATTTGTTTTTAGTGCGGGAAATTCTAATAATTTGTTTATAGACACAATATCTCACTTCACTAGTTGTATTTCATTTTCATCCTATATATATTACTACATATCAAATGCGCTATTAATACGTTGTAATAATACCTTCATAAGATGAGTATTTTACTTTTACTCTTTTAAATTAGAACTTCTTGCTTTTGGGCTAAAAGAATTTCTTTCTTATTAACTAAGTAAAGACATATTTCGTATGAAGGATTTCGATAAAATCACCGCAATAAGGTAAATTTCATCATCTACATCTTGTTTTTTATAAGCTTTCTTATATATTCCTCGTTTTAAGTTTTATCTTTGAGATATATTAAAAATATATTCTATTGAAAACATATCGCACATTTTGGTGTGATTTTGAACAAAGTCTGAAAAATATTAGCTGAAATAAAGAGAAAATGGAGAAAAATAATCACTGTATTTTGCAATATTATTATGATAAAGGGAAAAACGTTAGGCTTCTAAAAAATTTGTGCTGTTTATGGTGAAGGTACTTTATCAAAATCAGCAGCTCGAAAATGGTTTACTCGCTTTCGTTCTCGTAATTTCGATGTGAAAGATGTGCCACGCTTCGCTCATCCAATCACTGGAAAAATTGATGAAAATCTTGAAAAAAGTCTATTAACTAGCTATAGACCAGAAAACTGTTTTCAACTAATTACACAGGGCTAACTACAAAAGGAAGCTCGATGTATAGAATCTTGAGGATTTGGGCATGGAAAAACTTGATAGACTGAGTTAACGACAGCGACGTGCTGCTGAAACGCAACGAAATCGAACAAACGACAATCGGAGGCGAAAAATATCATGAAAGTGATGGTGAGCGACCCCAAGCGTTCTAAAACCACTATTGACACCGAAGAAGGTGATGTAGTGTTTGTGGCGGAACTGGGTGGGAATTGTCAATCTTTGGTCAGACGTGTCTCAATAGAATTAAACTGATTTGATAGGAAGCCTATTAAAACTGATTCAGTTAATTCTGTTTTTCAATCAGTAATAAAAGAAGTTTTTCTGAAATGACATCATGATTCTACCTGAAAAATGGTTGCTGTATTTGTTGATTTACTAAATAAACGCTACGAACTTTTTACTTGACCTAATAATTATGGTATTAAAACAATATTATTTTGTTAATAACAGATGGTGTTGGTTTCGGGGCCTCCTCCGTGTGTGCTTGTTCGCCTGGCAGCTCTGCCATTTCGTTATTTTTCACGTCCTGCCTTGGTGAGGATACTATTTCCTACTTTAATAGCTGCCACTGCAGGTAATACCGTTTCGTACAATCTTTTGCACCAGGATATGGACGTAGAGGTAAATATTTATTGATATTATATATTTGATCCAATAATTATTTTAATTATTTAGAGTATGAAACAGAGTAATTAAAAGTAAAGAGAATATAATAAGAATTGGAATGAAATGAATAACAATATATTTCATGATCTATTTTATAGAATATTCGATATATTAGACGATATTGTATTTATATTGCGACAGTTCTTTTAGCATATTCTCGCATACATATCATTTCATTTTCATTAAAATCATAAAATTATTCTTTGAAATAATACACGCAGTTATGTTTATAGAATATAACTCATTCGAATACATACGAATAATTTAAAAAACCCAATGACCACAAATAATAAAGAATAACGTATATAAAAGCATATTTAAGAAATAAAAATATTTTTGAATAACAATATTGAGTTATGAATTCAACAATATAAATTAATAAAAAAACTTGCAAAATATAAAAAATAAATTAACAAGTTTCAATTAATTACTTTTTTCTAAAAATTTTTGAATAGATATATTTTATACTATTATATATTTTTTATCGTATAAAATACTAAATGCGTATACAATATATACTATATATTTTATATATTGCTTGATGCTATTATGAAAAGTGGTTCATAAATAGTAATGAAGTAATCTTTAATATAATTTTAAGATATTATATATTCCAATATTTATTGAAAATTCATTTAATAAAACAAATTATACTTTACTTACTTGACATCGGGAAAATTGATTGTGAGGTTTTCAGTGTTTTTGCATTTTAGTTGCAAATAGAGCAGATTCTGTTATTGCATACTTCTTTTCTCATTATAAAGTGTAGGTACATTTATTTTCATTTCTTTTTCGAAGCAGGAAGGAATAATAAAAATACATAAAATTTGTATGACGATATTCATAATTTGCGATACATGTTACAGTATCGAAGTACTAAGCACTAGATATGTCAATTGCAAATGTTACACGCAAGGGCGCATCATTTCTCGATTATTTTTCAAATGTTGCTTGAGATATTTTAATCACAATAGTTTATATAATAATAATTGCTTGTTAATCTATAATTTTTTTCATATATTAGTACGAAAACGAAGTTTAATAAAATTAATGTTTTTAAATGACAATAAAATAAAATGACAAAATGAGAAATTAAAAAAATAAAGTAAATAATTATATGTTAATCAGATTGTTTAAAGAGTTGAATGTTTAGGTGCTTGAGGATTTCCGAAAATCGCCCGAAGGCCAGGAATGCCAGTTGCTGAAATTATTCAAAGAACGAGATCAATTCGTGCAGGAGTCCAGACAAGATTCCGCTGATCCGATTAAGTGACAAACGATACGTTTTTGTCGTTATTCGTGTCTGCGTAATCAGATGACTGTATGTCTGTGATATGAAAGAAACAGTTCGGCAAATCGCAAAATGCATAATAAAAACAAAGAAATATTTTGACGTTCAGCCAACGAATGCGAAATGCCGTAAGTGAAGAGGATTTTTTTGGCCTATTTATGCCAACTTTTGTATACCGATTTTTTATGAGTGCCCTTCTAATATTGAATGCGTGCCCACATACAGACCGAAGAAAATGTCGGTATTATTTTGTAGCCCTATAGAATATTGTTGATTCACTATTTACGAAGTTGAATATCATATGCAGTTTTTCAATATATTTAAAATAATTATAATGCTTAACTACTTACTTTATTTGATATAAAATATTATCTATCACGGACAAGACTAAAAAAGCATCCTTAATATCTAAACATCTTGCATATTTTATGAAATAATATATGCGCATAATATTAATTTAAATAGGATGAAATTCAGTTTACAATTTTTGTTTTATAAATAATTTATATAAAGTTTTGTTATCCTTTTGTAAATATTTTATTCTTAAAATTTGTTAAAGAAATGATATGATTTTGTTGTTCATTCATGCGTTTGTACTGATTAATCAATATCGAGAACAAGATATGGTTCATCAAAAATAAAACCAATGTTCTAATTATGACTGTAGTAATATTTTCTACTTAAGTTGATCGAATTTCTACCATAGTCTTGAAATAGACTTTAAATTCATTCATTCATTCATTCAACAAACAAATTATTCGTCCAGATATATATGAACTATTTATTATTTATACTTAATTAAAAAGTATTAATATTTATTTGACAAGAATGTTGTGTTATCATTTGATTTTGTGATAATCATTAAAATAAAATAATAAGATAATAATTCATGTTTGGTTGTGTTACGTTCTACACAGATTAGCTTTAAGTCCACCAGTATACAAGTCACGCTTATTTTAACAATACTCAAAAGACTAATTATCAAAGTGATGCTAATTATAATTAGACATTTACTAATATATTATGTTCATTGTGATCTTAATTTTAACGTACCAAACTTGTAGCTTGTTCATTACAAAGATTATATTTGTATAATGAAATAATATTAAAATCAACTAAATAATATGCATTTTTAACTCTTCATAGGTTTTAAGTTACAGCAATAGCAAAAAATTGAAATTATTTTTTTTTATATAAATTTCGTTTTCATATATCGTTTATGTTTATTTTGGCATACCTTAGAAAAAATGGATGTATGTTTGGGTGTGTGCGGATACAAATTCGGAAACACGCATCAACCGATGTGAATAATTGAAAAACATTCGATTCGTATTGATGGGAAGACGTGCTGATTGGTTTTCGGCAAAAGCAGGTCCAGCTATTTCGAACATACTGGACAAAAATTGCAAAATATGGTAATTCAGTATTTGAGAGAACAGAGCGTCCAATTTGAATAATTAAAAAAACATTTTAATTGTATTAGCGAAATCGCTCTTATTATACTGTTGTGTGTCAGCACCCTTATGTCCAACAAGTTATACATCTTACATCTTTTTTTATCTATGGACCTTATCCTCTCTCTATAGAATACGTTCACGACAGTCTTTTAGAATTTGGATTCTTCTCTATATTTGGGCTCTATGGTTTTAGATATCTTATATACTTGCGGCTCGAACCTTAGGATAATGCTGAAGCCGGTACTATCCGTGAGGTAAGTTATAGTAATAGCATTTTTGCATATCTTTACGTTTTGAAGTTTTTAAATATTTAGGAATACCTTAGAATAAATTGATGTATGTGTGTTTTTAATTCATTCACACTGACAATGAGATCAATTAGGTTCCGATATATACTTAAGCATTTTGTGACGGAATTCTAGCAATTTGCCATAAGAAACAAGCCATGCAGCAGTAGTTAACTACCCGTAGGGTAGTTATAGTAATGGGCCGAAAATCGAAAATAAAAGTTTTTGTGTTTCTCCACGTTTTGAAGGTTTCTAAACATTTACGCATACCTCAGAAAAAATCGATGTTTGTGTGTTTTGTATGTACGCATTTTTTCGTCCACGTTTTCGGGCGTACAGATCAACTGATTGGAAAGGTTCAAAAACATTCGATTTCTATTGATAACGAGATGCGCTGATTAGTTTTTGCAAAGGCAGGTCCAGCCGTTACGGAGATACAGGGTAAACAGTGCAGAAAATACAAATCGAGTTGTTGAGAGTTCGGAATATCCGATTTGATTAACCAAAAAACATACAATTTGTAATGATTAGGAGAAGAGCTGATTAATTTTTGGCAAAGGCAGGTCTGGCCATTTTGAAGATAGAGCTCATTCAGAGCTATTCTATTTATTTTATTTATTTGCGTAAAGAGATCAATTCTATATGCATGACAAAAGATTAATGAATATAGTGTTATCATTCTATTCTATCTCATACATATATAATATATATGTTAGGGTGGTCCTTAAAATGATCATTTTCGAATTTCCTTGCTCCCAGGGGCTCAAATGGTTTCAAATAGATAAAAAACAATTCTCTGAAAGTTTTAGCTCTTAATATTAACGTTTAGATAGAGCGCAATTCAATCAAAGTTTTGTATGGAAATAGCATGGAAAAATTTTCAAAAATTTTAAAAATGTTTTTTAGATGTAATTTAGCGAACAAATGAATGAATAAAACTCATTCATTTGTCGCTAAATTATACCTAAAACATTTTTTTTGAATTTTCAAATTTTTTTCCATGCTCTTTCCATACAAACTTTGATTGAATTGTGCTCTATCTAAACGTTAATATTAAGAGCTAAAACTTTCAGAGAATTGTTTTTTATCAATTTGGAACCATTTGAGCCCATGGGAGCAAGGAAATTCGAAAATGACCATTTTAAGGACCACCCTAATATATATTTATATTAAACAGAAACAGTTTTAAAGCAGTTTTTTATGTTGTATCGACACTGCACTGAAATTATATAAATGAAATGTCAAATTTTTAAAAATGATTGCTAAAATTTCATAATTTTTAGATTTTATATCTTTCCAAAATTGACGAATACGCATTTAGTATTTTTGATCATTCACTATTTTTTATATAACATTTACTGCTAAGAAATCAAATTTTAATTCACAATTTAATATATCACTAGTTAATATTTAATAAAGGAAAAATAAGTTTACATGCTAGCAATACATTTAAGTAATATATATATATATATATATATATATATATATTTATTGTTGTTTTTTATTTAAACTTGAAACTTTTGTCTGGTTTTAGATATGTCGTAGCGATCGGCCTTGTAGAAAAGATGGCACTTCTTCTTGCTTCTGCAAGAGGTTCCTTGGAGTCTAATCCTTCTTTAATGAGCTTTGCAGAAGAAAGTTTAGTGCTACTTAACTGTTTCATTAGAGCTACGCCATTCGATAAGAATGATCCTAGTCAAGATGTCACGAAAATGATGGAAACGATACGGTAAGCTTAAAGCTTCAATTACACATACACACACACACACACATATATATATATATATATATTATATGTATATATATATATATATATATATATATATATTAACAAAGTCTAGTAATCAGGCATAACATCAATAAAAAACATGAATTTCTTTCAATGGAAACTGAAAATAAAATTAAAAACTAAAACAATTGAATTGGAGTGAAAAGAAAAAATAAAATAGTAAATAGTACTTACAATTAGTTAATCTTAGTGTTAAATTAGAAAATTCTAATAATACATGGTATCAGGATATGGTAGTGCAGTATTATAAACATTAAACTTGTAATTACACAATATTTTCACAAAATACTAATTTAAAAAATCACAATTGGATAGTGTGTTGTTCGTAGACTGGTTGAAGATATAATGGAGAAAGGACTTTTTTAAAAAAATATTTTTTACCAAGACTTTGTTAATACACATGTCAACATCAAATTCAGAATCATACAATATATAATACACCGGTATAATTTTATAACGTCTTTTATTTTATTTTTTCATTTTTGCTCAGGTCGACTGAATTGCTAGGTTGTGTTTCTATGTTATACTGCGTAGCTACACCAATTGGTCAAGCGGAAAATCAACCCATGTCTACATTAAAACTTGCAAGTAAAACATTCAGTTTGTTAAAAACTATAGCCGATAAGGATTTGACCACATTTCAGGTAAACAATAAAACATTTAATCATCAATATTTTTTAAGAGTAAGAAAGTGTATTCAATATATTATTTATCTTATATTCAAGATAGAAAGTGTAAAATTCTAAATGTGTATCTGTTCAATTAAGTTACTTCACGACATTATAGATGCTTTTCTGCAAACTAAAAATAATTTACATAAATATGACTGATTTTTTAATTATTTGGTCAAACTAATGGAATATAATATGAAACAATACTTTAGGAATTATACACTCTCAAGTGTTTATGAAATTATTCTATCCGTAGTATGTTACCTATTATATCATGAAGTTTTTTATCATTAAGATCAGTGCCGCAATAAGAATCGTTTCCAATTTTGAATATTTCCATTCTACTATCTTCTGTTTATATTTGCTATCTGGCTTTGATAATTGCATGCATAATACATTTAATATATTTGAGTTTTCGGATTGAATCAATATCAATATTGTCTGAACGCTGCCGATCGTTCTTTAACGCACATGCTCACCTGAATTCTTTATTCGGTGAACCATATGTCGCATTATATAAAATATTTATATGGTTCATATTTGTTTAAAACGTAGTATTTTGAACTTGAAATTCGAAAAACAGATCTAAGATAATTTTGCTTATATATATACGAAATTTGATATAAAATTTAATGTGCAATTAGTTAAAACAATATATGTATTTAGTAAGGTGCTATACTACTTATTTTTTGAATATTTCTAAAGAATAACAATTTGTTGGTTTTTACAATACAAGAGTGAAATTTTGTGAAAATTTGTGAAACCATGTGATTATATAATAAAACAGACATAAAACTCATATTAAAAAAAAAACATAATATTAAAATTTTTTTGTGATTTTTTGTTAGATTGGCGTTGGTTTTAAATTAAAAATAAATGCTCACAGTTCGAATATATAATGCTTTTTTATTTTTTGATATATTTTATCCTCATTGCCCTTTCTATTATTATAAAACAATTGAAGTACACAATTCACCATTTTACCATGAAATTGCTGCTAATGCCAAATTTAGAAAAAAATTGATTAAAATAAATTGCAGGTCCAAAACATTTGAACAAATTGCGTGTATGAGCCGACTGATTTCTTTTTTTTTTCATTTTTAACTTTGGCTTTCTCTCGGTCATCTCATCGCTTATAGTCATAATTTCTGCTTGACGGTGATAAAACGAAATTAATTAAAATAATATCGCTAGTTAAATTTGTGCTTGTTGTATTATGTATCCTGTCTGTACCTTCAGTGATACTTTGTGATGCACCCTATCTTGCCCATGGCGGAAAATCGGAAATAATTTGTTTAATTTAGACGTCGAGTCAGTTGTATTTGTGTTTGCTGTTCAATCCGCAATGATTGTTTGCAGATGATGTATAGAGGAGTAATGATTTTTTGCCTAATGTTTACGTTTGCCAGATTCTTTCATAAAGAATTCTACTGCGTTGATTTTAAGCGCATATGCCAGACGTGGCGTATGGTAACCCGTACTAGTAACCCGCGAACATTTTCTCGATCGTTTGCGGTTTTAAATCATATGGGTAATAATTATGGGAATGAAATTGCTATAATTAGCATAATGGTATAATTAATCATAAGAATCTTAATCAAAGAAGCTACAATCACGTTTATCGATTTAGCATTTATTATAGGTTCATGAAAATTTTATTTCAACGTGCTGATAAACTTAGCATGATTTTTATTGATATGCAATTTTTTTATTGTTTTATTTCAGTGCGCATCTAGTGCGGACGGTGTTTCCTTGCAGTTTAGACATGTTTGTAACACTCTGCTTGCCTATTGTTCTTCTGCCTCCAATGAACATTTGGATGGACTACTAAACGACGTATTGCAAACATTAGGATTGTTTTCCATAGGCAACAGGGACAATCAGGTATGTCAACTTTGTTAATATTATATGTCTAATGATGTGATTTTTTTTAGAATTAACTTTATATCTACAGCGTGTAGTATTTTCAAATTCCACGTTTTATTGGAAACTGCATTATGCTTGACTTTAGGCGATGGTGTTGTGCTAATATTTTTTTTACTGGAACGCTAAAATTAAAAAAACCTGTTCAAAAACCGGTTCTCATATTTGTTCCTGTTTGGTTCGAAAATGAAAGAAACACAAATTATTACAAAACCCATTTTGTATATATATATTGTGAAATATGTAAGTTTGGTGTTGATATATATTTTGATGTGTTATTAGATTCGGGCAGCAACACCAAGTAAAAAAAACTAAAGTAGTTTTGAAATACTTTATTTATCCATACGTTTCGGTCTTTGTCGAGACCGTCATTCAGTGGAAAAAATAAAATTATACAAAAATACTCTACACTATTACACTGTGATAAACCAAGCTATTAATAACTGGAACATTTAAACTAATTATTTTTGACAATTTTTGGTTACATTCTAGTGCGTACAGATTAACTAACGTCTAAATACTGAATGAGTTCAGTTAAAATAATATTCATATTACTGAAACCGCGCTCACACTCTACCGAACTGCAGGACACAATATACATGTAATTGAGATTTCTATATCTTTAGGAATTATTTTGCCTCAAGTTTCAATATAATCTCTGAGCGTATTGATATATTGCATCAGTGATGTTAAATTAAATCTGGTGCATAATGACTGGATTTTATTTTCTTCTAGTCTATTTCAATATTGCCACTCCGTCGTTAGATCTAATACTCGAAATTCACTTATCAAATCATCTTCTGTATGTAGCGATTTAAAAATATTTTTTTTGCCGGAACGCGCTCCGGCTCGGCTCGACGTTCAGGCGCGTTCCGGCTCGACGTTCAGGCGCGTTCCGGCTCGACAACACCACTGATTTTAGGCATGTTACACGAAGTTCCAAACAAATGTAACTAATTGGATTAATACCGAATTTTTTTTTAGTTTTGGAAATGCCAAAAAATCTTGGAAATCATTCATTTATAAATAGTATTCTTATATATTATTATGTAATTTTCTTTCAAATTTAAGACTTACGTTTAAAAGATAGTTTATTTCTGGATTCAAAGATATCCGTTGGCTTTTGCTGAAGATCGGCTAAACTTTTTCTTTCATTCGTAACAAATTGTTGCAATTTTGATTTTTGCTTTTAATATTAAAAGCTGGTGTATATATTCAAATTTGTTTCTATCAAGTTTTCTTGGACTGTTTAGTGTGTTCCTATTTTTTTTTTTTTTCGAAAAACATAGTCTGAGTTGTAAGTTTATTAGCTATGAGAAAAAACACTGTCTTAAGCATATCCTTAACTTAGACATACCGGCAGCATCTTTAAAGAGTTGGGCAGCAGCTGACTGACACTACTGCTAAAGTTTGCGTATGTAACGATGATCGCCTTTCAGAAGAAGTCCGGAGGTAAAAAATAATGTGAGCATGAAACGAAAAAATACTGTGGCTATGCACTTTTTACGAAAAGAACGCTACTGACGAGCAAACTGAGTATGGACTTGCATAAGAAGTTGATAAAATGCTGCAGTTTGAATATGTTGTGTACAGTTTAGATGAATGGAGAAAACATAATGGACCGACTAGTGGTTTTGGTAGCACATGAAGAATTGCTTCATGGAACTTGAGAGGAAACAATAATTCGCAGCATATGATTGCGAAATGAAAAGAAAACTGAATCGGATCCATATAAGGCAAGGGTTGTTTCTACAAGATGCCATCGTTGGAACAATAAAAGTACAGAAAGTTTTAAAAAACGTTAGGACGCAGAAATGTGAGAAGTGAATAAAATCTGGTGCCTTAACACAGGGACTTGCCTTCGGGCAGTGCATTTGCAATAATAAAAATATCAAACATTGTCATTTTCACCTTTTCATTATTGTAAATTTTAAAATAGTTTTTTGCAATTTAATGAAACAAAACTATCTAAAAATTCCAAAAAATATAAAATTTTTAATTTTTCTCAAAAAGTAATATAATTCTAATTTGTTTTTAGTGCGGGAAATTCTAATAATTTGTTTATAGACACAATATCTCACTTCACTAGTTGTATTTCATTTTCATCCTATATATATTACTACATATCAAATGCGCTATTAATACGTTGTAATAATACCTTCATAAGATGAGTATTTTACTTTTACTCTTTTAAATTAGAACTTCTTGCTTTTGGGCTAAAAGAATTTCTTTCTTATTAACTAAGTAAAGACATATTTCGTATGAAGGATTTCGATAAAATCACCGCAATAAGGTAAATTATCATCTACATCTTGTTTTTATAAGCTTTCTTATATATTCCTCGTTTTAAGTTTTATCTTTGATTTTAGATATATTAAAAATATATTCTATTGAAAACATATCGCACATTTTGGTGTGATTTTGAACAAAGTCTGAAAAATATTAGCTGAAATAAAGAGAAAATGGAGAAAAATAATCACTGTATTTTGCAATATTATTATGATAAAGGGAAAAACGTTAGGCTTCTAAAAAATTTGTGCTGTTTATGGTGAAGGTACTTTATCAAAATCAGCAGCTCGAAAATGGTTTACTCGCTTTCGTTCTCGTAATTTCGATGTGAAAGATGTGCCACGCTTCGCTCATCCAATCACTGGAAAAATTGATGAAAATCTTGAAAAAAGTCTATTAACTAGCTATAGACCAGAAAACTGTTTTCAACTAATTACACAGGGCTAACTACAAAAGGAAGCTCGATGTATAGAATCTTGAGGATTTGGGCATGGAAAAACTTGATAGACTGAGTTAACGACAGCGACGTGCTGCTGAAACGCAACGAAATCGAACAAACGACAATCGGAGGCGAAAAATATCATGAAAGTGATGGTGAGCGACCCCAAGCGTTCTAAAACCACTATTGACACCGAAGAAGGTGATGTAGTGTTTGTGGCGGAACTGGGTGGGAATTGTCAATCTTTGGTCAGACGTGTCTCAATAGAATTAAACTGATTTGATAGGAAGCCTATTAAAACTGATTCAGTTAATTCTGTTTTTCAATCAGTAATAAAAGAAGTTTTTCTGAAATGACATCATGATTCTACCTGAAAAATGGTTGCTGTATTTGTTGATTTACTAAATAAACGCTACGAACTTTTTACTTGACCTAATAATTATGGTATTAAAACAATATTATTTTGTTAATAACAGATGGTGTTGGTTTCGGGGCCTCCTCCGTGTGTGCTTGTTCGCCTGGCAGCTCTGCCATTTCGTTATTTTTCACGTCCTGCCTTGGTGAGGATACTATTTCCTACTTTAATAGCTGCCACTGCAGGTAATACCGTTTCGTACAATCTTTTGCACCAGGATATGGACGTAGAGGTAAATATTTATTGATATTATATATTTGATCCAATAATTATTTTAATTATTTAGAGTATGAAACAGAGTAATTAAAAGTAAAGAGAATATAATAAGAATTGGAATGAAATGAATAACAATATATTTCATGATCTATTTTATAGAATATTCGATATATTAGACGATATTGTATTTATATTGCGACAGTTCTTTTAGCATATTCTCGCATACATATCATTTCATTTTCATTAAAATCATAAAATTATTCTTTGAAATAATACACGCAGTTATGTTTATAGAATATAACTCATTCGAATACATACGAATAATTTAAAAAACCCAATGACCACAAATAATAAAGAATAACGTATATAAAAGCATATTTAAGAAATAAAAATATTTTTGAATAACAATATTGAGTTATGAATTCAACAATATAAATTAATAAAAAAACTTGCAAAATATAAAAAATAAATTAACAAGTTTCAATTAATTACTTTTTTCTAAAAATTTTTGAATAGATATATTTTATACTATTATATATCTTTTATCGTATAAAATACTAAATGCGTATACAATATATACTATATATTTTATATATTGCTTGATGCTATTATGAAAAGTGGTTCATAAATAGTAATGAAGTAATCTTTAATATAATTTTAAGATATTATATATTCCAATATTTATTGAAAATTCATTTAATAAAACAAAATTATACTTTACTTACTTGACATCGGGAAAATTGATTGTGAGGTTTTCAGTGTTTTTGCATTTTAGTTGCAAATAGAGCAGATTCTGTTATTGCATACTTCTTTTCTCATTATAAAGTGTAGGTACATTTATTTTCATTTCTTTTTCGAAGCAGGAAGGAATAATAAAAATACATAAAATTTGTATGACGATGTTCATAATTTGCGATACATGTTACAGTATCGAAGTACTAAGCACTAGATATGTCAATTGCAAATGTTACACGCAAGGGCGCATCATTTCTCGATTATTTTTCAAATGTTGCTTGAGATATTTTAATCACAATAGTTTATATAATAATAATTGCTTGTTAATCTATAATTTTTTTCATATATTAGTACGAAAACGAAGTTTAATAAAAATTAATGTTTTTAAATGACAATAAAATAAAATGACAAAATGAGAAATTAAAAAAATAAAGTAAATAATTATATGTTAATCAGATTGTTTAAAGAGTTGAATGTTTAGGTGCTTGAGGATTTCCGAAAATCGCCCGAAGGCCAGGAATGCCAGTTGCTGAAATTATTCAAAGAACGAGATCAATTCGTGCAGGAGTCCAGACAAGATTCCGCTGATCCGATTAAGTGACAAACGATACGTTTTTGTCGTTATTCGTGTCTGCGTAATCAGATGACTGTATGTCTGTGATATGAAAGAAACAGTTCGGCAAATCGCAAAATGCATAATAAAAACAAAGAAATATTTTGACGTTCAGCCAACGAATGCGAAATGCCGTAAGTGAAGAGGATTTTTTTGGCCTATTTATGCCAACTTTTGTATACCGATTTTTTATGAGTGCCCTTCTAATATTGAATGCGTGCCCACATACAGACCGAAGAAAATGTCGGTATTATTTTGTAGCCCTATAGAATATTGTTGATTCACTATTTACGAAGTTGAATATCATATGCAGTTTTTCAATATATTTAAAATAATTATAATGCTTAACTACTTACTTTATTTGATATAAAATATTATCTATCACGGACAAGACTAAAAAAGCATCCTTAATATCTAAACATCTTGCATATTTTATGAAATAATATATGCGCATAATATTAATTTAAATAGGATGAAATTCAGTTTACAATTTTTGTTTTATAAATAATTTATATAAAGTTTTGTTATCCTTTTGTAAATATTTTATTCTTAAAATTTGTTAAAGAAATGATATGATTTTGTTGTTCATTCATGCGTTTGTACTGATTAATCAATATCGAGAACAAGATATGGTTCATCAAAAATAAAACCAATGTTCTAATTATGACTGTAGTAATATTTTCTACTTAAGTTGATCGAATTTCTACCATAGTCTTGAAATAGACTTTAAATTCATTCATTCATTCATTCAACAAACAAATTATTCGTCCAGATATATATGAACTATTTATTATTTATACTTAATTAAAAAGTATTAATATTTATTTGACAAGAATGTTGTGTTATCATTTGATTTTGTGATAATCATTAAAATAAAATAATAAGATAATAATTCATGTTTGGTTGTGTTACGTTCTACACAGATTAGCTTTAAGTCCACCAGTATACAAGTCACGCTTATTTTAACAATACTCAAAAGACTAATTATCAAAGTGATGCTAATTATAATTAGACATTTACTAATATATTATGTTCATTGTGATCTTAATTTTAACGTACCAAACTTGTAGCTTGTTCATTACAAAGATTATATTTGTATAATGAAATAATATTAAAATCAACTAAATAATATGCATTTTTAACTCTTCATAGGTTTTAATTTACAGCAATAGCAAAAAATTGAAATTATTTTTTTTTTATATAAATTTCGTTTTCATATATCGTTTATGTTTATTTTGGCATACCTTAGAAAAAATGGATGTATGTTTGGGTGTGTGCGGATACAAATTCGGAAACACGCATCAACCGATGTGAATAATTGAAAAACATTCGATTCGTATTGATGGGAAGACGTGCTGATTGGTTTTCGGCAAAAGCAGGTCCAGCTATTTCGAACATACTGGACAAAAATTGCAAAATATGGTAATTCAGTATTTGAGAGAACAGAGCGTCCAATTTGAATAATTAAAAAAACATTTTAATTGTATTAGCGAAATCGCTCTTATTATACTGTTGTGTGTCAGCACCCTTATGTCCAACAAGTTATACATCTTACATCTTTTTTTATCTATGGACCTTATCCTCTCTCTATAGAATACGTTCACGACAGTCTTTTAGAATTTGGATTCTTCTCTATATTTGGGCTCTATGGTTTTAGATATCTTATATACTTGCGGCTCGAACCTTAGGATAATGCTGAAGCCGGTACTATCCGTGAGGTAAGTTATAGTAATAGCATTTTTGCATATCTTTACGTTTTGAAGTTTTTAAATATTTAGGAATACCTTAGAATAAATTGATGTATGTGTGTTTTTAATTCATTCACACTGACAATGAGATCAATTAGGTTCCGATATATACTTAAGCATTTTGTGACGGAATTCTAGCAATTTGCCATAAGAAACAAGCCATGCAGCAGTAGTTAACTACCCGTAGGGTAGTTATAGTAATGGGCCGAAAATCGAAAATAAAAGTTTTTGTGTTTCTCCACGTTTTGAAGGTTTCTAAACATTTACGCATACCTCAGAAAAAATCGATGTTTGTGTGTTTTGTATGTACGCATTTTTTCGTCCACGTTTTCGGGCGTACAGATCAACTGATTGGAAAGGTTCAAAAACATTCGATTTCTATTGATAACGAGATGCGCTGATTAGTTTTTGCAAAGGCAGGTCCAGCCGTTACGGAGATACAGGGTAAACAGTGCAGAAAATACAAATCGAGTTGTTGAGAGTTCGGAATATCCGATTTGATTAACCAAAAAACATACAATTTGTAATGATTAGGAGAAGAGCTGATTAATTTTTGGCAAAGGCAGGTCTGGCCATTTTGAAGATAGAGCTCAATGTGCAAAAAGTGGCAGTTTTTGAGAGGACTGAGCGTCAGATTTGAATGATTTAAAGAGCTTTCTGCTTATTTCATCAAAATAATTGCTTTTGGAAAACAAAAATGTTTCATTTTTTTCAATTTTTTTTTTCAAGAAAAATATTTTTTTTGTATATCGAAAATAATTCAGATTTTAATTTTAATTCTGTTCTAATATACTTTAAACATATAATTTCAACTTTGCAATCAAGTTTATATAATTCTTATAAATATTAGACAATGTATTTATAGTAATCTATTTGAAAACATTTAATATTTCTCGAATATTTCGTTACGATACTGGAAGTTCCAGCTAGTTTTTTTATTATTTATTCGGTAATTAATAAATCAATTATTATATGCGATATGCACTTTAGGATCAAAATAAATTTGGCCACGGGTACAATGGCTGAACTTAAATAAGAATAGTAATGAGGCAGATGATAATTCTACAAACTCTACTCTGACTGCATAAAGTATTGAAAACCTAACCTAATCGCATCTAATGTGCGAAAAAGAATATGATGAGTCTTTTCTTCAATTTTCTTTCAATTCAAAATTTTAAGGGTGATGAACAATTTCTTTGTTTGATCTGCTATGAATTATTGGCTTCGGAGAGTATGAAACCATTACAGTTGAAAACACATCATGAATTAAATGCTTCGAATGTCAATAAAAGAATATTTTGAAAGACTTTTTAAATCTTTAAATAAAGAAAAAAAAATTTAAAAAAATATAACCGTTACAACCATACAACCTTGTTATTACATGCAGAAGTAAGATGGTTGTCTAAAGGTCAAAATTTAAAAAGATTATTAAAAAGACGATATCGAAATATTTTTAACCGAACAAAAATGTGAACTCTATTAATTTGTCGATCTCAACTCTCAACGATCTCAACTTGTCTCTTCAACGTAAAAGATTCAATACATTTACTTAAAATGATAAAATTGAAAGTTTTATCATAAAAATCAATATTTGAAAAACTAGGGCCGAGTGAAAAATTCAAAACTACAAAGACTAGAGCTAAATTTTCCACAATAGCTGATATGGCGTTAAATATACTTTTGTTCTACCACATATTTATGTGAAGTTATTTTTTCATCATTAACCCAGATTAAATTTTAATATCGTTCAGCGCTAAAAAAGATTGAACATTTCACCTTCAACCAGGTTTGTATTGTTATACAATAAAAAAACAGGCACATCCATATCGTTATTTTTTTAAATTATATTTCAATTTGATTGTTAAATAAAAACTAAACTGGAAAATGCACATAACAAGGAAAAGTAAGATTTTAACATGAAGGAACTGAACTGGCTCATAGGTAGATCAACTCTCACTCGAATATAAGCTTCTACTATATAAAATAACTCCATTATGGGCATATGGAATATACTCCATTATGTTCGAAAAATATTAAATGTTTTCAAATAGATTATTACAAATACTGCAACGGGGTTGTGCCAGCTCTTATAATTCAGAGAGCTCAAATCAAGATGCTTAGAATGATCAGCAACGTTCCATGGCATTTGGCCAACAATATGCTACGCAAGAACTTGAAAATTTCCACAGTGGCGGTGGTCATTAACAGCAGATACTCAATTTTTGAATATAAATTGGAAAAATGGCCAAGTGATCTGCCGCAAACAATAACATAATTTTCACTTATAGGGGCAAGTCCCGTAAACCCGGACGGCACTTAGCGTCGGACACTATATTTAGGACGTATTATTTAGGCGAGTATAAATCTTTTTATTTTAAAATATAAGTGAAAGGGGCACGGGGAGCACACAGGTACAGGATCACGCGCCAAGTCTCGCCTGTGATGCACACGGCCACAACGGGAGCAACTCTTTGCTGTTTTAGGCGCAAAATCACGGCGTCATCTAAATATCAATGAAAGTAATTCTAGAATATTTATGCACTTACATTTGAGTGGTACGCAAAGATAAAAGTAGTACTTAATTGTTATCCATAAAATGGTAGAACATTATTAGATCTTTTAAACAATTTTTGTAGGTGCCACCAAATGAACGAAAATGTCTGCTCTTTTAGCACCGGACTCTAAGTTGTCCCTTAAAGCCGGACAGTAAATATATTGATATTTCTTGTAATTTAGATAAGAATTACTTAATTTATTCCAATTATTTAATTTTGTTCTGTATGAGTGCTAGCGGTCATTACATACCCCCATTTTTCGTATTTCCTAGTCAAAGAATGAAAAGCTTATGGTGCATGAATAGTGATTTTTTTTTTTGCATTATCTAAGAATATTCGTCAAAGACACATGTGCAGACATTCCAGAGTGTGGAGATGGCTACATATGTTATTAATGCAGGTTATTTTGAAATGTCCGGTATTAGGTGGCACTGTTTAAAATCATATTTTTTGATACCAAAGTTTGATTGATAGTATTAATTATTTTTAGCAAAGATTGTGGTTTTGTTAATTTAGTTTGATTTCTAACTTTGTTATATAACAAAAATCATAATTTAAAAAAACATTTCGTAAAATATTTTTTGATTATTATAAATAACCTTAGGTGCACGCCACTAGGGGACTTTCCTCTACAGAGAAAAGTGTTGCGCACAAGTAACTTATAATTATTATTTATTATCATCTTCCTATTTTTTCCTCTCTTTTAATTTTCAATGATCGCTTTCAACCTAGAGGTTTTATTTCAAATCTGATTGTTAAAATAAAATGTGAATAAAATATAAATAATTTAATACTTACTACTCAACTATAGTTAAGTGGTAAGTATTTTATAGTCAATACAATTTTATATTTTTTTGTGCAATTTTAAAATGAATTCTAAAACCCATTAAATAAATCATGAAAAATAACAATTTATTTTTCTTTTATATGTGTATGGGGTTCGAAGTCATAAATGGAAGAAATTCGAAATCATAAATGGGGTCGTAAATGAGAAAAATTTGAGAAGTCCTGAACTGCAGGCTGTAGCAATGAAAAATGTTTATACATGAAGAAAATGCTTTATTATAGGCATCTTTAACATCGCTTTTCCCAAATGTTTCAATTATGTAAATCAGTTATGTTTCTTTTAATTAAAAATATGCGAGACGTTTTTATCTATCTTTTAATTAAAGGTAAAATAATTTTATTTATATAAAATAGAATCTATTATGATCGTGCTTTAATCATAAAGAATTTACTCCAGCTCCAGGTTCCAGCAATGCTGTACTATGATATATTGAAAAACAACAGTTCTGACTCGAGATTTTATATTTATGACGTTTTTTTTCGTTGATTCGTATTCGTCGTGGAGATTTGTTCGAGCGGGCATTGTACGATTGACAGCGGTCAGCTTGTTTGACATGCTGAGAACCCGGCCGAGGCGGCCAATACGCGCATACCGGTCAATAATACAAGAAGCAGTAGCTAGATTATCTCAGCGACTCCGTGATGGTTCATATTGATCCCATGAAGATTATGCACGCCGTTCTGATCACCGAACGCTTATTCAGATCATCAGATCACAAGGCCGATTACTCAGATTACTCGATACGGAACACAGAAATGACAGAGCAAGGATCACATCTCATGCATAAGCAACACGATCGTGTTATAATTTATGCATTTGATGCAGTTAATAATAGAAAATTCAGTTGAGAAATTATCCAGTCAGAATTCTACCTTATGATTATGAACCATCATCTCGTAGTTCCTGATTGTTCGGAATTCAAATTTACGCGCCATGAAAGACTTTTGTGGAATGTAGTATGCTACTAATAGAATTTTGGAATTGATAAAATAATGAATATATATTTAACGGCATTTTTGTCGAAATCATTTTTAAGCACTGTTTGTTAGGTAACTAAAACTGAATATTATCAACTTCCCGTAGGGTAAGTTATAGTAATGGGCCGAAAATCGAAAATTAAAATGTTTGGATATGTTCACGTTTTAGAAGTTTCTGAACATTTTGGCATACCTCAGAAAAAAATGGATGTGTGTGTGTGTGTGTGTTTTGTGTGTCCCCACGAACCAAGCGATTTGAATGGTTGAAAAAAAACATTCGATTCCTATTGATAGGGAAATGTGCTGATTAGTTTTTGGCAAAACCAGATCTAGATACGGACCAAAGAGTGTAGAAAATAGAAATACAGTTTTTGAGAGAACGGAGTATCCGAATAGAACGATTCAAAAAACATTCTGCTTTTATTGACGAAACAAAGGCTATTGATATTTTCTAATTTCAAAATTTATCTATTTCATTATTTTTCAAATGATTTATAGATTAGCTGGAAGTTTTACTGATTCTGAGCATAGTCTGATAGTCGTTTGTTTGATATGTGGTATTTGTTGCGATGTGATTGATTTGGTTTTTATAATATAATTGCTAAATATTAAAATGGACCTTTGTGCCCCACCCTACCCTTTATAAAATTTAAATATTTCTTTCGTTATATTTGTTAACGCGTCACTCCCAACCCTGGTATAATTATAATATTTTATTATCTCCATGCAGGATAGCGACAATAAACCCTTTCATTGTTACGCGTCCTGTCGCAAATTCAGTAATCCATTTTTCCTAGAATTTTTATCACCTGTCCCTAACTACATCATCCTATAATCCTTATATTTCCAAGAAATTCGCACTACCTGTATCAAGTTTAAATTCTTCGTATCATGCAATTTATCAACCAATACCTGATCGATTGATAAATGTAATAACCACTGATTGGTTCCAAAATTGTAATGGGGTGTCCTTAACTCCACAAAATGGGCCAATCAGAAAAATATATAAAATTATAAAATCTACATAATTTGGTATCAACTAAAATTTCACTTAGTTAAGATCAGTCGTAAATCAACACTCAAACTATAACATGTAATTCAAACTTCAACTATCTAATCATCTATAAGTCTTAATATTCTTTAAATATATAATAATCAAACAGTTATTCATCATCTTTTATTCATATTATCTTTTCAAACGGTCTGATATAGCCAACAGCTAAGTATATCTGGTCCTTCGGCAAAGTGCAAGTGTTCAATAGAGTTCGGCAGCATCCAGATAGATCACGAACTTCTTAAACACTTTGAACCTATCTAAACAAATACTTTTTTGGCCATCAAAACCGAATGGTCATTTTACTAAACATTTTTTGGTCCAATTCGAACCGGATCAACCAGTGAAAGTGGAACATTAATCTAAAATCTAAAACTTAAAACATAGTGCACAGTGTAATTAGTTAAATCATCATTTAACATAATACATTGCATCGCATAATTAATCTAAAATAATCTAAAATCAAATATTAAAACAACATTCAAACAACAACAATTCAAACAATTAAATCAAACTAACATCAACCTTAACAATAAATCTCAGTGTAAGTGCGGTGTGTATTATCGTGAAACAACAAGAAGCATAATTATAGCACAATAAAGCTGCTGCACATTATCAAGGAAACAACAGCTGAATCCAAATCAGCTCATCAAGAACAACTGAGGACACGGGACGCCGACAACACAAAGGTCAGAGTAATTTTAAGCACTCCTTTTAATTCTATCCCTATACCCATTGTCTATACCTAACGTTTTAAAATTATTGTACTAGATCTGTGTTAATATGGATTCTTTAAAATCTTTGAAAAACAAAAAGAAATTCATGAAATCTCGTTTAACCCAAATTGATAATTTTTGTAAAGGAATAGGAGAAAATGCAAGTAGTGAAACAGATATATCAGAATTTGAACATATTTTAGCGGAGTTAAAGCCCTCTTTGAATACATTTCAGGATCTATTAATCGAAATGGCAAGCATTATTGATGATGATGAGCAAACAAACAAACTAATAGATACTGAAATGTGTGATTTTCATAATACTTATAGTAAATGTGTCTTAACTTTAGAAAGAAATATTAAAAAATTTAAAACAATATCTAGTTCAAGTAGTAGCATCGGTGACAATTCCAATCAAACAAACAATATTAAATTACCAGTAATCAATTTACCTCATTTCGACGGTACTTATCTAAATTGGTTACAATTTTATGATTCATTCAATTCGATTATTCACAACGACCAAAATATTAGCAATTCCCAAAAGTTCTATTATCTAAAATCCTGCCTAAAGGGCGAAGCAGGTAATATAATCGAATCACTACCTGCTACCGCGGACAATTACATCATTGCTTGGGAATTGCTAAAATCGCGGTATGAGAATAAAAAACTTATCGTAAATAACCATATAAAATCATTGTTCAATTATCCGTCCATTCCATCTGAATCGGGCAAAGGCCTCCGGGATCTAATAGACACTTTCAATAAACATCTAAGGTGTTTAAAAGCGCTAGAACAACCTACCCAATATTGGGATCCGTTAATTAACTATTTACTACTTTCAAAAATTGACAAAAAAACCCGTCAAGAATGGGAATTGTCTCTAAATAAAGGCTCGGAACTAGTAACATTTTCAGAACTTACAACATTTCTAAATCAACGCTGTCAAGTATTTGAATCGATTAATCTAAACGAGTCTAGCAATAATAAACATAAAAACATTGTTAGCCTTAGAAACAATATAAAATCATATGCGGTAACAAACAACACGAACTGCATTTTCTGTAATCGTAGCCGACATTCGCCATTTTATTGCGAAACATTTAAAACCTTATCTCCTCAGGTCAGACTTTCCAAAGTGAAAAATTTAAAATTATGCGTAAATTGTCTGCGAAGCAATCATACGGCGCAAGAATGTTTCTCTTCAAATCGATGCAACACATGCAACGCAAGTCATCATACTTTATTACATATCGAAAATGACAAAACACCATCGAATCCAATTCCAACAACGTCGCAAAATGTTTCATTACACAGCGAAAATAATTCTCATCAAATACTCTTGCCCACGGCATTAATAAACATTTTAGATTCTAGAAACAATTGGAGAGTTTGCCGAGTATTACTTGACTCTGGCTCGATGTCTAATTTTATTTCGGAAAAACTGGTTAATGACCTGGGACTAGACAAACAAAATATAAGCATGCAAGTCAGGGGCATCAATCAAAGTTCTTCGGAAATAAAAGAAGAAACAACCGTAACAATAAAATCACGCGTCGCGCATTTTACATCCAAACTATCATGTCTAATTCTGAAAACTATTACATCAAATATTCCAGCAATATCATTCAATTCGAACAAATTTAAATATCCGAAACACGTAAAATTAGCAGATCCCACGTTTAATAAGAGCGATAAGATTGATCTTTTAATAGGTTCCGAACTATTTTGGGAAATTTATTGCGAAGGTAGTATAAAGCTCGACAAAAATCAACCAATATTACATAACACCAGGTTCGGTTGGATAGTTGCTGGGAAATTACCGTTTAATGTACCAAATTCTTTCACTATGTGTAATTATTCTACTAGTTTAGAATCGCAAGTGCAAAGGTTTTGGGAATTAGAGGCTTGTAATAATATACAACACTTCACCGAAGACGAAAAACGTTGCGAACAACACTTTATTGCTAATACGTCTAGGGCAAGCGACGGTCGGTTTATTGTAAAAATCCCGTTCAAAAATAACTTCAAAGATATCGGATGTAGCAAACACATAGCTTTAAAAAGATACATATCACTAGAAAATCGTTTAAAATTCAATAAAGATTTATCAATCGAATATAAACAATTTATGAATGAATATATATCATTAGGTCACATGACCGAGGTTAATGACTTAAATGAACCTTTAACTAACTTTTATTTACCTCATCATGGAATTTTAAAACCACATAGTTTAACGACAAAATTACGAGTAGTTTTCGATGCTTCATGTAAGTCCGATAACGGTCTGTCATTAAATGAACTTCAACTTGTCGGTCCTACCATTCAAAATGACATATTTTCAATAATACTAAGATTTAGACGACATACTTTTGCACTCACCGCTGATATAGAAAAGATGTACAGACAAGTTTTAGTTCATCAAAATGACAGAAAAATGCAACGGATATTCTGGCGGAACGAAGCATGTGAAAAAATAAAAATTTACGAACTTAACACGGTAACCTACGGAACCGCTTCAGCTCCTTTCTTGGCAATTAGGTGCCTAGAACAATTATCAAAAGAAAATATTATTCAATATCCGATTGAAAGCGATATTATTAAAAACGACTTCTATGTCGACGATTTATTAACCGGAGCCAATTCAACAAAGGAATTATTTGCAATTAAACAAAATTTGATAACTATTTTAAATCAAGGCAAATTTAATCTATATAAATTCAATTCAAATAATCACAATCTTCTAAATGATCAGAATCCATGTCTCAATATCGGCGATGAAACAGTTAAAACGCTGGGCATGACATGGAATTCCATATCAGATTGCTTCAAATTTAATACTAGTAGTATCAAAATAAATAAAAATATTAGCAAAAGATCAATTTTAGCCGCAACAGCTCAAATATTCGACCCTATTGGGCTTCTATCGCCTTTTATAATAATACCCAAATTAATTATCCAACAATTATGGCGTTTAAACATATCTTGGGACGAGTCAATACCGTCCGATATAGAAAATAAATGGAAATTATTTTGCAAAGATCTAAAATTTATTGATGATATAAATATCGACCGACATATGTTTTGTAAAGATTATGTAAACATAGAATTGCATGGCTTTGCAGATGCGTCCGAACGAGCTTATGGTGCATGCGTATATATACGATCAGCTAACAAAAATTCAAACTTTAAAATTCAACTCATTACTTCCAAATCTAGAGTAGCACCATTGCGTAACATAACACTGCCGCGACTTGAATTATGTGCAGCGCACTTATTAGCAAATCTTATACAAAAAATCAAAACAGCGTTAAACATCAACTTCGATAGGGAATTTTTTTGGAGCGATTCAACAGTTGCTTTATCATGGATTAAATCTCCATCCTACCGTTGGAAAACATTTGTTGCTAATAGGGTAGCCGATATCCAAACTAACACTGATATCAATAACTGGTTGCATGTTAAATCACAAGACAATCCCGCTGACTTAATATCACGGGGAATTTTCGCGCGCGATTTAATAAATTCTTCATTATGGTGGAACGGTCCATCATGGCTACGATATCCAATAAAAATCGATCAGCATAATAACAACATACCTACAACAGATGAGGAAAGTCGTACTACTACCCTAATTTCCATTATTGACGAAACAAATGAATTATTTAATCGCTATTCATCCATCACTAAACTGATTCGTGTCGTAGCTCATTGTTTACGTTTTTCTAACAATTGCAGACCAAAGAAAAAAGTGATGGTACGCGGACCTTTACAAGTATGTGAACTGAATATTTCGCGTATGCTTTTAATAAAGTTATCTCAAAACGAAGCATTCAAAAAGGACATAAGTAATATAATAAAGAATGGGTCGGTAGATAAAACTTCTAATTTAAAAACGTTTAATCCTTTTCTTGACGAAAACGGAATACTTCGCGTTGGAGGTCGCTTAAAAAACTCAAACATTGGTTATAGCAAGCGTCATCCAATAGTTTTGCCGAAAAAACACATATTAACAACGTTAATTGCGAAATATGAACACTTGAGACTATATCACTGCGGGTCTCAAATGTTGTTAAATACTTTACGCAATAATTATTGGCCAATGGGGGGTAGAAATCTAACTAGAAACATAGTCAAAAATTGCATAACTTGTTTCAAAGTTAAACCAACTTCAATAAACCCATTAATGGGAAACTTACCAACACATCGAATAACCCCTCAAACGCCATTTTCGACATGTGGCGTCGATTACGGAGGTCCCATAATTCTAAGAGATCGCCGTACCAGAGGTTATAAAAAATATAAAGCATATATCTGTTTGTTTGTCTGTTTTGTCACCAAAGCTATTCACATTGAACTAGTATCCGATTTGACTGCGGAGTGTTTTTTAGCAGCTTTGAGACGATTCACTGCACGCCGCGGCAAACCTAGCGATATATTTTCGGACAATGGCACTAACTTCGTAGGTGCAAATTCTGAATTAAACGAATTATCTAAATTTTTACAAAATAAATCTATTAAATCTACCATTACAAACAATCTATCAATTGAGTCTATATCCTGGCATTACATTCCGGCAAATTCTCCTCACTTTGGGGGGCTTTGGGAGGCAGGCATTAAATCATGTAAAGCCCATTTAAAACGCGTTCTTGGCAATGCATGCCTTACGTTCGAAGAATTTTACACAGTATTAACACAGATCGAAGCAATATTAAACTCAAGACCACTATCTCCATTAAGCTCTGATCCCAATGATTACAATCCTTTAACTCCCGGCCATTTTTTAATTGGCAAACCACCCACATCAATCCCAGATCCATGTGTGCTTGAAATTCCGGAGAATAGGCTGTCATGCTATCAGCGTCTTCAGAGACTGACGCAACACTTTTGGAAGCGGTGGTACAAAGAATATATATCGGAACTACAAGTGAGAACAAAATGGCACAAATATTCATCAGAACTCATTAAAGTCGGTAATATGGTACTATTACGCGATGAAAATTTACCACCACTACGGTGGCGATTGGGTCGAATCATAACACTACATCCCGGAGAAGACGGCATCGTGCGAGTGATAACAGTGAAAACAAACAATAATTTAGTGAAACGTGCAGTATCAAGAATCTGTGTCTTACCAATTGACGATAAATAATTTGAAACAATAAAACAAACAAAGTGTTGTGAAGTGTAAATTATTAACAATCATTTGAAACATTTAGACAATTAAAAACCTTTAGTTAAGTGTCAATAATCAACAATCAATTTGAACATTTGGACAATTTTAAAGACTCTAGTAAAGTGTCCGTGAATAAGCTAACATTATATCCATAATCATTATCATTCATTAATCAATCTATTATCAATATTATCATCAAATGTCATGTGCTATCTATAAACTTTCAAAACATTAACATTAACAAACTAGGATTAAGCAACGTTAAAAAAATATTCATAATTAATTCCTCATAATTTTTTAAGTCCGGGGGCATGTTAACGCGTCACTCCCAACCCTGGTATAATTATAATATTTTATTATCTCCATGCAGGATAGCGACAATAAACCCTTTCATTGTTACGCGTCCTGTCGCAAATTCAGTAATCCATTTTTCCTAGAATTTTTATCACCTGTCCCTAACTACATCATCCTATAATCCTTATATTTCCAAGAAATTCGCACTACCTGTATCAAGTTTAAATTCTTCGTATCATGCAATTTATCAACCAATACCTGATCGATTGATAAATGTAATAACCACTGATTGGTTCCAAAATTGTAATGGGGTGTCCTTAACTCCACAAAATGGGCCAATCAGAAAAATATATAAAATTATAAAATCTACATAATTTGGTATCAACTAAAATTTCACTTAGTTAAGATCAGTCGTAAATCAACACTCAAAACTATAACATGTAATTCAAACTTCAACTATCTAATCATCTATAAGTCTTAATATTCTTTAAATATATAATAATCAAACAGTTATTCATCATCTTTTATTCATATTATCTTTTCAAACGGTCTGATATAGCCAACAGCTAAGTATATCTGGTCCTTCGGCAAAGTGCAAGTGTTCAATAGAGTTCGGCAGCATCCAGATAGATCACGAACTTCTTAAACACTTTGAACCTATCTAAACAAATACTTTTTTGGCCATCAAAACCGAATGGTCATTTTACTAAACAATATTCAATGTATAATTATTTGATAAAATTAGTGGGAAGTATAATGTTTGTTATTTTTAAGTGCTAATTATTGGTTGTATGTCGCGTGTGCAGTGATATTTTTTAAACGCTAAATTATGATTTGAATCGAACTCAAATCGGACTTTCTTCGTTGCTTTGCTTTTCGAATGTATTATTATAGGGTAGGGCGGGACACAAAGGTTCATTTTGATTTTGAACAATTGTATTGTGAAAACCAAACCAATTCCAACACAACAAATAACGCATATCAAACGAATAACTTAAAATAAGACACTAGACCTGTTTGCCCCCTAGCCATCTCAATGTACCACGCCTGTGGGGTAAAAAAGGCCAGGTTACAAATTTTTGAAAAATAGGGATTTTTACTGAACATAGTCAGACAGTTCGTTTGATATGCGTTATTTATTGTGTTGTAATTGGTTTGGTTTTCACAATTCAATTGTACAAAATCAAAATGAACCTTTGTGCCCTGCCCTACTCTATAATACATTCGAAAAACAAAACAACGAAGAATGTCTGATTCGAGTTCGATACAAACCATAATTAAGCGTTTAAAAAACATCACTGCACACGCGACATACAGCCATTAATTAGCACTTAAAAATAACATAAGCATCATACTTTCCACTAATTTTATCAAATAATTATACATTGAATATGACGAAAGAAATATTTAAATTTGATATAGGGTAGGGTAACAATAAAATCTGCGAAAACCAATTATTTCTTAAATACAAAAAAGCCATTTGAATGAGTAAATCACAATTTCAAGAATATAATAATCCAAGACTGCGGTTAATATTTCGTTCATCGTTTCATCGCCACAAATCCGAATATAGGTTTGATATGGCGGCGCTCTGACATTTGTTCTCCCTCGATATTTTAGACGGCATGCGCTAAGAGCTAAGTGCTTCACAGAATCAGGAATTTTACGAGAGAGGAAAAAAAGGAGTCGACAACGAACTACTAGAAATATGTAACGAAATGTAGACACATCATATTTCACAGTGGCAGGCGACCTTAACATATACGATCATCGCTAAATGTACAGAAACCTTTTGTATCCTATTCAGCCCGATGGCGAACACGATTTTAAATGGAATATTTATGTGCTTAGTATTTCAGAATCGTGCTCGACATATATCATCTTAACTTACGATACCTACATGCTAGAGCAGCATCAATGAAACTTGAAAACAGCCGCTACGAATAGTATTTACTGTGATTACGCTTGAAAGTCATCGTTGTTTATTGTATCCTAGCTGTAAACACTGAAATTAAATGCTTTGTTTCTCCTTTTGAAGTTTAGATAAATGCTAATTAAGAATTAAAGTTAATTATTGTAAATGCATCATAATTGTTATTGGAACTGGCAGTTATGAATAAAACTTGAATACAAACAGTGAGACAAACACTTTAGAACGATGATCTTAAAGGAACTAAATATTTAAATCATTTGAATAATTTATTAATTTACAATAAAATATTTCTTTATATTATACACAGACAAAATTATACAAATATTAATAATACTTTGGAAATATTACAATAATTATTTACAATTCATTGTCATCATCATTAATAACATTTTATTCTAATTTTTACTGCATTTTGCATTATTTTATATTAAAAGAAATTAATCGTTAAGTTGCTTTTTAGATAGTTGTTTCATGTACATTGCAAATAAAGCTAGGTTAGTCAAATTGCTTAACTATTTTTGCAGAAAAGTAGAGCCGATGACCTTAACCTACCAATCATATTCTATTCATATTGCTAATTGATATTATAATTTTCGTGCGAAATCGCCATCTTACGATTAAAAAAAATAATACAATTTTAATCAATCAATTAAATGATTTTTAATCGTTATTTAATGTATTAAATCAATTAGCTTGTACCAGAATGAATTTTTGTTTAGCAAAACTATGCTGAAAACAAAAATTATATTAAAAGATTTTGTTTCTTACTTACAGAATTCATAAACATTTTAAATAAATATTTAAATATTATTATTTTCCAATATTTTGTGGGATTTGTATTTGATTTCCACCATTATTGTTAGGATTTGGTGGACCTTGACCATTATTTGGCAGATATCCATTATTGACATTTGGTAGACCTGCGTTTGGTCGATTTGGTTGCGTGCTTGGCAGCCCTTGATTTATATTTGGGTTCTCCTGTATTGGAACTTGATTTCCATTCCATTGAGGGTAATTATTTGGCTTTACTTCTCCTGGATCGTTATTACCTTGAAATAGTTTATATGAAATTTTGAATTCAATTGCCATTTTTTCTATATTTACCTTGTGTTGGATTCGAGTTAGGTGCAGTAGAAAAGGTATTAGCATTTTGATTCGAGCCCTGATTTGGATTTGCTTGAGCATTTGGATACCATTGATTATGTGGATTTTGGTAAGGTCCAGGTTTTTTATGTGAATTTGCATTCTGATTAGGAGCTGCGTCCTGATGTTGATTTGGATTCTGATATATATTTGGATTCTGATACGGTCCCGTGTTTTGATAAGGACCTGGATTTTGATACATTCCTGGATTTTGATACATTCCTGGATTTTGATACATTCCTGGATTTTGATACTGATTTGGGTTTTGATAAGGATTTGAGTTCGAGTATGGAGAAGGGTTTTGGTACGGATTTTGATGTGGATAGGTCACTTGATTTTGATTTGGATTAAGGTATTGATTACCATTCTGTGTATTTCCTTGATTTGGATTGTCAGTGCTAGGATTTGTAGGATGTTTCAGTTTATGTCTAGGCCTTAAGAAACTTGGAAACCATGCCAATGGATTGAATAAATTGTCTTCATCATACTCATCGAAAAACCACCTACGTACGCGTTTACCATCTCTGTTTCGTGGATCTCTATGGAGCTTTAAAATTAAACCGTATTTAGCAAATGAAAAAAAAAATGAATAGATTTATAAACGAGTACTTAAAAATATTTCTATTATTATAGCCAAACTTTGGAACAAAAAGATAGTTAAATGCTTAAAAGTTAATATAAATAACGATTCAAGTTTCATTCCTCCCTTGAATTTTGGATACGAAATAGTTGTTAAGTAATCTTGAATCAACCTAATTACTCCATTGATGATTGTTGTAAAGGTTTTTTTTTGATTTCAAAAATTTGTTGATATTTATTTAGTGGAAGAAAAATTAGGGCATAAAAAATCAATGTATATTTTGAGCCCCCTTTCAAATAATTTTAATAAATACGTGATATAATATAGCAATTTATAGCTCGGGTTTTGACTGTGATGTGCTTTCAAAATTTTGAAACTTTGGATGAAATAGTATAAAACATATAACTTAAAATCGCGATCAATGCATTTGATGTATATACGATATTGTTGTCAATATGTATTGCTAAACGATGTGTTTAATGCATAGACCTTATAACTACATAGTATAAGGTCTATAGTTTAACATATTAAATGAAATTAAACTTTTCTGCGTAATTAACATAATTGGATGAAATATCCTTCGAAGGAATGAAATATACTATGTATCCACATTAACTAAAACATTTTATTAATACTTAAATTTTTGTGAAAACATATGATTATGAATTTTGACTGCACACTTGAATACATTTTACTCACATTTTCACTATTTGTGAAGTTCAGCAATAAGCACAAAACCACAATTTTAACGAACATTGCAATACTTTTGAAGTAAGTCTTAATTTTTCATAGAATTTAAAGCAACTGATGAAAGAACATAATGATTATCAAAGAAAAAATATTTGTAGTTCATTACAGCATACTAAGAAATATTTGAACAATTGGTTTTCTTAAATTATACGAAATATGCTTGGTTCATTTACGCATTGATCTTATTGTAAGTGTTTTTGTTAGACAAATATGTGAAAGATAAAATGTGAATCAAATGCTTATTGTATTTGAAAATGTCTTTCATATTTATGTCGT